GGGGGGCCAGCTGGCACACTCCCCGCCCCCTTTCTACTTAAAATAGTTTTTAATAGCAGCTTTTAGTGGCAATATCCCGCCCATCTGGTATATCACACCAACGCTCCTAATGTTGCCATGCCAAGGGAGGCCAGAAAGATTTCCACCAACCATCGCGCCTTCTCAGTGGTGGCACCAGCCGTGGGGGACCAGCTGGCACACTCCCCCGCCCCCCTTTCTACTTAAAATAGTTATTTTTAAAAGAAGCTTTTAGTGGCATCATTTAATGTATTAAAACTCTCCTGCTTGTGTGTTGTTTTTATGCTGTTTCACTGACCTGTTGGCTCTTCTCTAATTTTGTTTGTTTCCTATTTACTTTTATTGCAGTATAATTTGTATGTACTTTATTTGTTTGCAAACTGCCCAGAGTAGTGCTTTGTACTAATTGGGCAGTATAAAAATGGAAGAAATTAATAAGTGGCTCAGCTCACACGGGCAGCTGGTGCATTCGTGCGAAGGGGGGGGTACTGCTGCTGTCCCACCTTAGCTTTTGGCTACCCCCCCATCTATCCTATGTTGCCCCCACCTCGTTGTGCGCTTGAGCAAACCCCCCTCTCTCTGAGGAGAAGAATGCCATCACTCTGCCCGGCATGGGTCCCCAATATTTTTCCATCTTTCCACCCACACTGGGCATCAGCCATTGGTGCTGCTGATATAATAGGAGCACTCCTCGGGGTACAAATGACCTGCATCTCATAATTTGCATGGAAATCTGGCACCCTGGATGCAGCTCCCTGAACAAATGAGCAGATGAGGAGATGGACGACGGGGAGACGGACATGAAGGATGTCGGCCCATTTATGTTTGGCATTTTCTTTGGTTTTTTTAATCAAGGGAGTGAGCAAAGGCTCATGTCAAATATGTTTCCAGAGCTTTGAAACATCACCTTTTTCCCAAGCTCTGTGGCTTTCTAGGCGGTGAGGGGAAGGCGGAAAAAAAGGTTCCAGCTTTTTATTACACACAGCACCTGTTCATTTGAAAAATGACAGGACTCAGGTTACATTCCCGTACACCCAAAAGGCAAACAAGACAGGAGGAAGCCCTCTGAATAACTCATCCAAAAATGTCAGGGTGTTATTCATGTGCAGAGAAAGCCTGGACTGGTTTGAATCCCCCCCTGTGTTTTCTGTGTACTCTTTCCGTATAGGATTGTGATGAATCCAAAAAACAAAGCAAATTCTAACTAAGCCTGCAAGCCTGTCCCTTTCAGACCCTTTCTGGACGTGTGGGCATGCTTGTTCGTATGTTTTGTTTTGTTTTTAGTTTGACTGTGAAAACAGAAAGAAACCAGAACCCCCCCTCCCAGACACCCCCCTCAAGGCCAGCGATTCTTGGCTGCCAGTCTGCATTCTCTTTTCATGACGGCTCGGCCGGCACAAAGGGGCGTCTGGGCCTCGGCACCCAGGCTTAGCAAGACAAACGTGCCGTTTTTGTGCTTCGTTGGCAAAAGTCTGGGCGTCCCGCTCCCCTCGGGTGTGCTGGGAACCAAGGCAAAGCCCAGACCTTTGGGGACCCACGGGGGTGGGTGCGCGCGCATGCAGGGATGTGGCTTTTGGAAACTGGGAAAGACTAGACACGGAACAGAGAAGAAAAGTGGGGTGAAAACTGAGGAAGGGGTGAAGAAGTGCCATCCACGAGCACTGGGAAGCCTCTTGAAGCCAAATCCGTTGCCCATTGTGGCACCGAGCTTGGAGAAATTATTTAAATGGCTGTCACTCCAGCGTCCTCTTGAGTTTTAACGCCGCAGATCTACAGCCTGGCTTCTTCTATTCAGATTTTCTGCCATTTCATAGAAACCTACCATATAGACCCTGGAGTCTCTTGCCCTCCAGAAGGCCAGATTTGGGGCCTCATGGTCTACCTCACAGGTTTGTTGTGGAGTGGTCAAAAATGAACAGGCTCGCTTGAGTATAAACCAGTGTTTTAAGCAGGAGGAATAGCCGATATCCCACACTGCGGATGTGTGTCTCTCTCACACAGAGTTTTTGTTCCGTTTTCCTGGGCACGTCAAATAGCATTGGCTCGCCGGACGGAACACGCTGGCTCCAGCTGCCGTTTAGTGGCTGGTTTATTTCCTATAGCACTGGAGGAGCAAACCTATGCGGGAGTAAGCCAGGACGTCCTATGGGAGAAGGCAGCCACCCCTTTTTACAAGAGTGATGTGGAGTCTTACAGAAAGAACTGCAGGGTTATTATAGGATGGTGCCCAAGCAGCCTCGTTCTTGTGGTTGGTTAAGCCTCACCTCACAAGGAATCCTCCATGGCCCTGACACTCTCCGCTCGGAGGAGGGGCAGGTTCAGAACGACCCGTTTAAGGGAGGGACTCACAGCGATCAATGCCACCCTAGCGTCTGCCTCCTTGGGCATCTGCTCCACTCTGTCTAATGGTAGGGGTGTCCAAGACCCCCAAAATATTGGGAGGGGCTGCAAGGGAGGTTGGTTGCATTGCCTATGCGGCAGTTCTACCAGGGCTACAGAAGGAGTGTGGTGGGCGCACAGAAGCATGCAAATCTGATGCTTCTTTATTGCAAAACTACAACTGTATAAACCAGAGCATGAAATTTAGTCATTATAAAGAGAGAAAAGTCTATTAATGTTAACAGCAATGGGCATCTATTAAACTATAGCTAGATATAATGTTGTTGTTCCATGCGATCAAGCTGCCTTTGACTTATAATGATCCTATGAATGAATGAATGACCTCTAAAATGCTCTGTCTTCAACAACCCTGCTCGGGCCTTACAAACCAAGTCTGCGGCTTCCCAAAGGAACTGCACCCATTCCCCAGCGTTATGATCTTTTCCACTGAATCTTACTTTCTCGTGCTAGCCTCAGTTTCATTGTTTTTGCTTCTAAAGAAAGTTCAGGCTTGATGTGATCTACAGTGGGGCCTTGACTTAAGAACGGCTTGAGTTAAGAACATTTTGACTTAAGAACCGCTCTCATAGGAAAATATTGACTTGACTTACATACTTAGATTTGAGTTAAGAACTGAAAAAAAACCACGTGGGAGGCAGGGAAAGTGCAAAATGTGAACTTTCAGTTAACTTTCAGTGAAAAGGGTGCCTGTCTGCTTCCTCACTCCTCCCAGCGTTTAGAGAGTGGATTGGGAGACAGTCTTCGGACTGCCTGGTACTGTACTGCCTGGACTGTCTTTTCCCTGCCTTCCCTGAACCTTTCTTGACCTAAGAAAAAAAGAAACAAAATATCCCCCTCTAGTGGTCGAAGGCAGAATAGCAGCTTCCCATTAGTTTCTATGGACGGAAAAGAGCTGATACGGATCAAATGGTTTTCAATGCATTCCTATGGGAAATGCAGATTTGACCTGAGAACTTTTTGACTTGAGAACCACCTTCCAATACGGATTAAGTTCTCAAGTCAAGACCCCACTGTATAAGACACACTCGTTCATCTTTCTGGTGGTCCAGGGGAGTCAACAAAGCTCTCCACCCACACTCTAAAGAAAGTTCAGGCTTGATGTGATCTATAAGACATGCTCGTTCATCTTTCTGGTGGTCCAGGGAAGTCGACAAAGCTCTCCACCCTCACCGTATATCAAACAAATAATTTCCCCACCCCATCAGCTTTCTTCCTGTCCTAAATAATTTCCCCACCCCATCAGCTTTCTTTCTGTCCTGCTTTCATACCCATACGTCTCCACTGGAAAGACAAGAGTGTGGATGATCTTGGCCTTGTTCTCATCCTTCCGCTTGATGATCTTTCCTAGTTCCTCCGTGGCTGCCCTTCTGTGTTTCAGTCTCCTTCTGATTTCTTGGCTACAATCTCCCTTTGGACTGATGGTTGGACCAAGCTATTGCCGCTTGATGATCTTTCCTAGTTCCTCCGTTGCTGCCCTTCCGTATCTCAGTCTCCTTCTGATTTCTTGGCCACAATCTCTCTTTGGACTGATGGTTGGACGAAGCTATTAAAAAGTCTTTAACAATTTCAATGAGTTCATTGTCTAAGTTCAAGTTGTGCCATTTTTTTAAGCAATCGTCTTGTCTAAGTTCAAGTTGTGCCATTTTTTTTAAGCAATCATCATTTTTGTCTTCTTCATGTTCAACTGCAATCCTGCTTTGACACTTTCCTTTTTCACTTTCACCAGATATCATTTCAAGTCATTGCTGCTCATAGACCTAGAGTTAGGCAGCAAACTTTGGACTCAGTTCCCTTCTTGGTGTCCCGGGCACTGTTTTAAGCACAATAGGGCAGTTACATTAGTTACATAGTTAACTAACTAGTTACATCCTAGTTAGGATGCCATCACCTTTTCTTTTCCTCTGTAGTTTTGTACAGACAGATATGTCAGATTCTTTTGCCACTCAACTAACTGCTTGTATGGATTTATATGCTCACTCCTCCCCCCCCATCCCGTGTGTATGGTTCACCAAAAGACTGGAAATCAGAATCCTTAGTTTTATTTCTTTTTTTTTAAACAAAATTCTGCTTCCAAGAGGAATAAAAGCAGAAAGAAAAGAAAACAAGGTTGCAGGGGGTGCAGGGGAAACTGCATGATCGTTTGGAATTGGAAAGGGGGGAAAAACCCAGGAGATGATGTCTGGTTCTCAAACATCAATACGTACAAGCCACCCACGGCGTTCTCCACTAGCATGTGAACAAAATGATGCAAGATGGGATGATACCATTGTTGCATTCTTGGGTTTGTGCCACAATAGTTGTGCTCAGCTGGTTTCGAGGGAAAAAAATTAAACTGAAGTTGTTGAAGGCGTGTTTCGGGGATGGACTGAAACTGGTCCAACAGCCTTCTTCGCTTCCAAGGGAGCCCTGCAAACGGCTGGTCTGTAAAAGAAGGGTTGTGATATCCAGAGGCGAATGCTCGGCCTGGCAACAAGCTGTGGGGGGGGGAGCACCACCCCCACCTGGCCCTCCTGAGCCCTCCTGTTCCTCTTACCAAAGTAACAGAAAAGAACAGAAAAGTTAGGGCACCAAACCAAGTCATGTTTCAGGGGACAAAAGCACTTTATTGGCAGGGGAAAGTCGCTTTTCTAATTCCTTTCCACCTTTACTTTTTTATGTCCATTTGAAAGGGATTTTTTTTTTTGCGCTGGGGTTTGTTTGCATTTCGCAGCATGCTCTTCTCCATTCCGAGCCCTGCCCCGCGCCTCAGTCAGGAAGAGTAACTGAAAAGTAACAGGCAACATAGCAAGTAACATAACAAGCTACTTTTCAACACTGCAGCAAGTAACATCAAGGTTTTACTTTTTCAAACACTCTTAAAGAGCCAGGGAATTAACTGATTTAGAAAAGTCACCTCCCTAGATCTAAATAACACAAAGATCTCTTGGTAGAGTTGGCAGGGAGCCCTTGAACTCAACAGGCGGATATTCCTTTGGTGGGCCTGGCAAAGACGCTTCGACAGATCCCTCCAGCCTGGCCCCATTCCCAAAGGACAGTCTCGGGCTCCCTACGCCTTTTCCTCCAATCTTTCTCCTTTCCCGGCCACCTGCTCTTCCTGACACGTTACTGGCACCTCACGGATGTTGGCCTTCACTTCCTTCCCGGTCCGCGGCGCTTCTAGGCACAGAATGCCGTCATGGGTCACTGTGGCTTTGACCAGGAGGGGATCCGCATCCAGCGGGAGGATGTAGGTCCTGGTGAATTCCCGGGCAATGAAGCCGTGCCGGTCAGCCTTCTGGGGGTGCTGAGCCATCACCTCGAGGAGATTGTCCACGGTCCGGACGGCGATCTCGTCCGGGGTGAAATGACAGACGTCCAGGAAGACCTGGAACTTGTGGTCGTTGAGGGTGACCTCCGAGATCCCTCGGTCCAGTTGCTTGTTGATCCGAGGTCTGATGTAGTAGCCGTGGTACAATGTGGGGGCCAGGATGTCCCCCGAGGAAAGACCTAGAAGAGAGAAAGGAGGTTCATCCACAGGGACTCTCGCCAGGGCAGGAACCGAACATGGGCACGTTGAGTGAGATTTTTACGGTGGGTTGTCCACAAGCTGGAACCAAACCGCTGGAAAGCCATGTCCAAAGAGGGGAGCCAAGGAGAATACTGGCAGAGGCAGAGGTCTTCCCAACCACTGAAGACGATGCCACCGTTGCTGCCACGGCTGCTCTCATCCTCTCTAGGAGAGGGAAAGCAAAGAAGAAGGAAATCAGGAGACACCCACTTGGGTCCTGAAGACCAGTTCCAAAACTAAGCAAGGAAGAGAAGCTTCTGTGGTGACCGTTGCACACGGTCAGCCCCTTAAGGACTTTCTTCTTCTAAGGATGGCCTGTCTATAATGTCTGTTTCTAGGACTTGCAATTTTTTTTTTTTTAAAAAAGTAACTTCCCCAAGTTTTGTTCTGGGCTCCCCCACGGGAGTCTCCTCTTCCTGCTTTTCCTTCTCCCGGACACTGTTTTTGCTGCCATCACTCCCTAGAGCGCAGCACCGCTTTCTCCTGGCACAGACCTGTTGCAACTCCAGCCTGACCATTTATTTGGCAGGGGCCAGAAGCAAGAGGGAAAAAGATAAAGGGGGAGTGAGCAACACGCAAAACACACACACACCTACATACACCCAGCAGTCACCAAGCGATGCTGATCGCAGGCTGGCAGAAAGAACAAAAGCCCTCTTATGCCCAGCCATCATCCCACCAGCTTCGCTTTCGGGGGCTCCCCTCTTGTATTGCATCCTGCTGGTGCTTGAAATGTGCTGAATAGTTTACTCCTGCTTTCTGCATTCTTTCCTACTGCTGTACACACACCCCTTTTGAGCTTTGTGTCCAACCCACCCGCTCAGCTTTTCATTGCTTAACTGGGCTTCCAAAAAGAGAAAGAGGGAGAGGGAGAGAACGGCTCCGGGTGGCAGCGTTTTTCCTAACCCAGCTTGTTTTGCCAGCCCCCTTTCACAAACTGGATTGATGGGGAGGGTGTGCAGAGGCCACAGAGGGGGTGAGGGGGTGTGGGGATCTGGAGAAAGATCTCCCCCTCCTGATGTTCACAACATCAACGGGGGCTGCCCAGGGGCTGGCAGGCTTATTAACGCCTTGCAGAAAAGACCATCCAATGAGTTGACCCCTCCAGTCTGGTCTGATCTTCGAGAGCTGGGTGGCCAGCTCTCAGTCCACCTGCTAAAGTCTCAAGGGACAGAGAAAAAGAACAAGAGGAAGGGACTATGGGGAGATATAGGGTAACAGGGGCTTGTGTTCATCCTCCTCTTCCGAAGCAAGCCAGGTGTGGAGCACCAGCCCTGTGACTCAGGAGCCTTCTTGTAGCGCAAGCCTGCCTGCAACAGCACCAGACCTGGTGGAGGGGGAGCTCTCTGTGGGTGGGAAATGAGCAACGCAAAACCTCCAGCAACCATGCAGGGCTGTTTGTCTGGGTATCAGTTCCACATTATGAGCTGTCAGATTGCTTCCAACATATGGCAACCTTATGAACGAATGGCCTCCGAAAGGTCCGGTCATTAACCATCCTGCCCTGTTTTTGCAAACTAAAAGCAGCAGCTTCTTTTATTGAGTCTGGCCATCGTAGGTTTCGCCTTCCTCTTCTCCTGCTGCCTTCAATCATTCTCATTGCTGTTCTCCTTTACAGTGCATGTTATCTTCTAACCTATTTACCATTTTTTTTAGCAGTCATGGAACCAATAAAACTCTCTCCACATTTCCACTACCTTTCAAACATTTCAGTTCTTCTTCCCTGGCAGCTTTCTCCATTTTCCAACTTCTATGCCAGAGCCGCAACATCGGTGTTCTTGTTTTCATTTTGTTATAGATACATTTTTTTAAAAAGCAACTTTTCTAAGATTGATTAATGTAGTAGACGATACAAACAGAAGAGCGGTGAAACAGGAAGTTTTAGAAAAGAAAACCTTCAACATTATATATATATAATGTATCAAAGAAGAATTCCAACAGTATATAGATTTGTGAATAAATGAGGTTTAACGCAACCCATTAACCAGTACATTTCATAAACCACGCAGACACAATCAGGGTGTTAGAGGTAGAGTTAATGAGCTTCTACTACACATTCCATGTTAGTTTATAAGAACATTTCCACAATCCTATATTTATTAGGGCTGTGTAGAGCCTTTTCCCCCTAATATTCCACTTTAATGGTTCTAGAGATATCCTATAATAATTACGAGGGCACAAGCTCTCCGTCCTAACTCTGGAAGAATGGAAAATGTGCTTGTCTCCACCCTGACCAGGAGAAGGTAAAGACATTTCTCCCGCCTCTTACCTTCCCCAAAATTCTGATCATAAATCTTGCTCGGGTTGGCGAACTCATATTCTGCGCTCACGGGGTAGGCGTGCGGGACCGTGCGCTCAGCCATTGTCTCGAGAGAGAGGCGTGGACCTCTCAGAGTACCTGTTTCAGCGTCTCCTCTTAAAGCCTGCACAGAGATGGCGATGCTTTCCTCAGAGTGAATTCCCCTGGGAGGGAGAGGTGATAAAATATAGACCAAAATAGACATGCGGGCCCTGGAACGCCAAGCTCTCGGGGAGGGCCAGAAAAATCCACATAACATTCCACCCCTCCAAGAGACACAGAGACAGAGAGAGACGTTGTCCAGGTCTTGAAAGGCAAGCAGGAGTTTTTGACTATGTGGCCGCAGCTGTTAGAAATGTCAGAAATGTGCCATCCTGCCCGGTTGGCAGAGCCCCGGGACAACTGGACCATCGGATTGCATGCGTGATGAAAAGAACAAGGAGGAAGAAGAATCTGGAGAAGATAGAGGAGGAGAATCTGACTCACACGCTGTGTCCCTCCAGCCCAGGGTGGCTTCAGCCATTGCTCCTAGTTACAGACAGACACCCTCCGTGGGTGGAATTCCTTCTCATTGCAAGAGTACCCAAAGGATGTTCTGGGCAGCAGCCCCACCACATTGAAACATGTAAATACTTCTCAGCGGTAGCGTAGTGGTGCCAGGGCCTGCAGGGTCAAAGTACTGGGGACTTCTGAAGGAACAGGAACTATGACATCAACTGCCTTCAGGGTTCCCTCCTCCATCTCAGCTCAGCTGCAATCCCATAATATCAGGAAAAGAAATTGAATTTCTCTCTATGGTTGCACGTGATCCCCGTTGCAATGCAAAGTGTTTGAGCATGGCTTGCTCTTAAATGGGCCGTTAAGAGCCATTGGCTTGACAAAAAACCTGCACCATACTGGGGGACAAATCTAGCTTGCCTGTGTGTTTGGACCAGGTCGGAGGTTATGAGATCGATCACCATGCATATGAGAGCATCTAATTACTCCACTTCCCCCAAGCACTTGTACTGGTTTTTGTTGCAAAACTTAGTGGGCCACTCTTACTTCTGAGTAAACACACAGAGTGTTTCTCTACCAGAAGCAAATCCAGTACATTGGCCACATACACTCTCTGACTGCTCATCTCAGCTGGGGAGCCGATCTCCATGGAATCAATGGCTGAACGGAAAGTCAGCATGGTCAATCGCTCAGCGTCCATGGGCCAGCTGGAGGAAGCAAAGGAAGGCTAGCTGAAAAAGTAAGTGGTGCCTCACAAGACGAGCACCCCGTTTAATGACGAAATCACGACAAACTTTTTGCAATCCCCACGTTTGGACAAGCAGGGATTTCTATCAGGTGTATAGCAACGCACCTAGTGGTATGTTGTTAGCACATTGAGTGCGCCATTACAGAACAGAATTCGGCTTAGGATATCCAGGCCTCTGGGCCCACTCAGATGGTAACTAGAGTGGTCACAGGCCAGCTGTAGGGCGGATCCGTACAACACAGGGAGCCAGACTAGACTGATCCCATTTTAACTGCCAGGATGCTTTTTGAAAAGGATGCCTCCATGATGAAACCTCTTCCCCCTTGGGCTCTGCAGCTGTGATTCACAGATGCAGAGGTCCTCGTGTCCGCCTGCTTTGCAGAACTGAAAGGAAGGGTGAATGCGAGTGGCTGGAATTGGGGGATGTTCAGACTCCCTGGGGTAACCCCACGGGCGAGCCTTTCAGCAGCAGAGGGCTGTAGGGGAAGAAGCCAGCAGGAGGTGGAGGCACCTGTTAACACGGGCTCATCCCAGGAGTTGGTGTGCCAGGGGAAATGCCCATGCAGACTTCTTAAATTGAGACCCTTTTCATTTCACAACGTTAATGCCGGAGGATTTATGCTGGTGCAAGAATGCAAGAGGATTTTGACAACTTGGGCTACGCTGACGCTCATGCGAAACTCTAGACTCCTTCCACGTCTTTGGAGCCAGCAGGTGCACAGACAACGCGTCTGCCTTCATTTCCCCAAGACGAAATGGGAGAAGGAAGCCTTTCCAGTCGACCTTGGCAGGTGCTGCCTTCCTGGCCCCTCTGCCTCGTCCAGGACCATCCACTGGGCTGCTCCCATGGCGCTTTTTCCAAAACACACACACACACAAAAGAGCCCTGTTTTCCCAGCAGGAAATGGCAGCATTCAGGGGCAACAATGTCAGAACCACCCACCATGATGTTTTCCTTTGGAAAGAAAAGAAACTGACCCAGGTGACAGCTCCTGAAGGGGAGGGAGAAGAGGGAAGTAGCAGTGTTTACGCATCAACCCCTCCCCTTCCCGGCACTACATTTCACAGAGAGCACATCAGTACAAAAGGGAATTTCTTAAGTGTGGGAAACATCTGATTGTCAAAGCAGGATCTTTTCACACCTCCCGTAGTTTACCAACTAAGCTTGCTTTGCTTCCTGATTGGTCTTCTGAGTGTAAACAGGGCCTTCATTGGCAAGTGCCGTACCTTGGTCACAGGAGGTCTGCCTGAATCACGGCTCTGGGACACTAACAGATTTCCAGCTTCTAATATAAAACTCTCTCTCTTTGTCTACCTTGGAGGAAACCTTAGGCAGCTGCCCACTTTGTGGCTGAGAGACCACAAATCACGGCCTTGCCAATCCCAAACCTTTCTTACAGCCCCTAAGAACTAGAACTTTGGTCTTGTGTTTTTTTTTAAAGAAGCAGGCTGACATTTTAGGCTGGTGAAGACTGCTCCCAGTCTCAAACTCTGTGAAGGACAGTTGGCAGCCTGCACGGGCCTAAGAACTAGAACTTTGGTCTTGTGTTGTTTTTTTGAAGAAGCAGGCTGACATTTTGGGCTGGTGAAGACTGCTCCCAGTATCAAACTTTGTGAAGGACAGTTGGCAGCCTGCACGCGTTATGCTACAGTGCTACTCTCTTTGCCGAAGACAAGACATCATTTTCTGTACCTTTTTTTCGTTATAGTTCAATCCTACGCATGCCTGCTCTGATGAAGTCCTGCTGAGTGACAAGAGTTGACAGCTTGGAATGTGTGGAGGAAACGGCAGTCATGGGAGCGAAGACTGCCCTGTGCAAACATATGCTCATGCTTTGAGCTCTTGTGCAGTCACTGTGGAAGAGGGAAAGCTGGGGAAAGGAATTAAACCCCCACTCTGCCCTTCCACTTATGATCACCCTCCAAGCTGTGTTTCCTTCCCCGTTTGTTTTTAAAGGAACCCAGGGCTTTAAAAAGCATGTAAAGTACCCACTTTCTCCTCGAATCACAAGTGTTAGGTTGTGTGTGATCCTCTCTAGTGTGATTTATGCTGCAGTGTGGATGGGCATTTAGGACGTAAGGATGCAATTCTAAGGACTGGAGCTTTAGAAGGAAGGCCTAGTTCAATAGGAGAGTGTTGACTAGGTCGTGGGTTCAGTCCTTGGCATCCCCAGAGAGGGCTAGGAAAGGATTCTGAACCTATCCAAAGCCCTAGAGAACCACTGTCACTTAGTATCAACGAAACTCAGCGACATCAACAACCACCTAGGAGGCACCACTGGTCTGACTCAATCTACAGCTGCTGCCTGCGTTGTGTTTTAATTCATTTCTACCTTCCGTTGAACTCCATGGGACTTTGATGGGCACTCCAGAATGGTCCTGAAACCCTGCCTTGTGCTGGGTCACAGATCTATTCAGGGGCAAATGATTAAATTTTACAACCTATGTACCTGGAGGGTTTTTTTTGGGGGGGGGGCTCAGACGGAGAGAGAGCCTAAAAGCACAACTGCAGAGGCAATGCTGAGGTCTGGATGCCACCAACATGCAGCAGTGGCTACAACGGCCCAGACATGGAGGTGAAGAAAGAGGAACAGAGAACATCAAAACAGGTTTGGCAGCATTCCGATCACACTCCAGCTGGAGGTGTTGTCATGGCGGGCTGCTGGCCCTGCATCTCCTTTCATGAGCTGAGCAATCTGGCTTCACACGCTCCTGTTTTAAATTTAACCCAGTTGGTTTGATGAGTCATTTTTTTATTCTTAGCAGCCCCATCCGAAGGGTTCGGCTCTGGGACGGGCCAAGTGGGAGGAAACCGTCAAGAGGTCCAGATCAAAACACAGCGGCAGAAACATCCACTGGCCAGGGGGGAAAAGACCCTGAGCCTCTTCTACCACTTTTTACTGGGTGAATGGAAGTGCGGTCCAAGCAGGAAAAAGTCTTCAGTTCCTAATGACGTAAAGAAACAGAGAGCAAAGACTCGAGGGGGGTGGAGGAAACCATTTTAGCCTGTTGCAGCAAAAGCAAGGGATTTTAATTAGGTTTTATTTGGCATAACTTTTCACAGCCTTCCGCCCACTTCTTCAGATTCAGGGGATATCGCTTTGGGAGATAAGAGATTTATACCGATTCCAGCAGAGGGGGAGCAGGATGTGAAACATAACAGATATGCTCAGGAGCTTGGCTCGATGGTGGTCTGTACACCGGTGGTCCCCAACCATAGGTCCTCAGATGTTCTTGGACAAAAACTCCCAGTATTTTTGACACTGGATGCTGTCGGAGGTTAGAGAACTGTGCTCTGTCTGGAAGGTAAATCCCTGATCCCAGAAGCTTCCGGGAATGACGAGCCAAATTTTTCCTTTTCCCAGAGGAAAGCTCCACTCGGTCAGGGAGAGAACAAAGCAGTCCGACAGGGCTGTGAAAAAAAAACATCTTGGAGTGTTGTGAGCCCTTTGGCTGCTTTTTCCCCGCGCCACTCTCCACCCTGGTTCTGGTTTTATAAGGGAAGAGGTATCAGATCTCTGAGTCACTGTTTACCACCACAAAGCCAGAATGTGAAAGGAAGGGCTCCATGAGAAGACTGCATTATAAACCAGATTCCAGAACAACCAGGAGGTACACCGGCCTCTCGCTTTCCTGTTTCTAAAGACAGCAAAGGAACGAAAGAGCGTTTCTAAAGCCAGAGAGAGTAAGCAGGCTCTCTGCGCTGCCCTCTAAAGTGGTGGAGAATGCTAGACGGGTCTGACTTGGTCGTTTTCTCTCTCATTCGGATGGAAAGGAGGGCAGCACGCCAGGTTCATGCTGATGCGCTAGAATTTAGCTGGGTGTTCCTTTTTCTTGTCCATGTGGGTGCTGAGCAGAGCATTCAGAAGGCCGGCTAATCTGCCCACCAGGGCTGAAAGAGGCCGACGTGGGAGCCAGGAATAATGAAACACCTGACATCACCGTTCCAGAGAGTTCAGCCCTGGGCACAGCCTGGCACCACAGAGCCTATAAAGGCTCGCCTCCCACGGCGTGGCTGGGCTGGACACACACAGCTGCCCACAGTCTCCTTTGGGAATCAACCCAGATGGATTTCACCATTCACCCCCCTTTCTTCCGCAGGCCTTTTTTATCCTCCTTTCAGCCCAGCCGAATTTTCCACCAGACGTTCGGGGAACACCTGGGGGAATCCGAAGTGCTCCCTGGCTCATCTTTCAGCTCTTTCTTTTGGAGACCCTTCATCGTAAGAAACCCTGGCTGGCTAGAGAGCAGATTCTCAGAGGTAACCTTTTCCCTCTTACTTCTTCATTTAAAATATTCCTGTCCTGCTATCTCTCCAATGAGCTCCACGTGGTATAAATCCCTCTCTCTTTCTCACTTCATCCCGACAACCCTAGAAGACAGGACCGGCCCAAGCAAAACCAAGCAGTGTCTTCCTGCCTCTCCTTGTTATGTGTGAATAGTTTCCATGCCAAGAACCCCTTGTATCAGAACCCTCTGCCTTCAAAATACATACAAGTAAACCAGCAACGTCTGAATTGGCTTATTTTGTTCAGGCAGACATCTTCATTAGTATTATTTTGCGCCCCTGACCCAAATCTTTCCTGAAGCTGGGAGTTTTGTGACAGGAACAGTTGGTTAGCAAACAGCTTTGCAGACAAGGGAAATACAACGGAACAGTCCATCAAGGAAGGAGGACAAGATGGAAAGGATGAATTCTGCCCCATGAATTCACGACCCTTTCTGGCAGCTTTCCCTCTCTGTTTATTCTTTACATCTCTTTTTCACATTTCCTCCAATGACTTCAAGAAGGCATTGACAGGCGTCTTCCTCCCTACTTAAGAATCCACCCGATACATCTAAGAGAAAAGGCATGTCCTCAAGCCTGGGCTTTAGAGCCTGTTTTCTCCAGTGAGAAAATGATGGGCATTGTTCAGACTAGAGATCTGAGCACAGCTCAACTGGATGTTACTGCATTTTAAAGCTAAATGATGGAATCAGTACTGCGTTACTGAAATGACGACTCAGCCCGGTATGTGAAGCCTTCCTTCAGTTTGGACTGTTTTTGTTTTTTCAATTACAAATGTGCTATGCATTTTTCTATTATCCCTACTAGCCGAAAATTGCTAGGCGTGGTACAAAGGATTTAAAATGTTTTTTTTTAAAAAATAGGCATTGACCACTAGCATATAGGCTAAGAAGATGAGATATTACAGAGGAAATGAAGGCAGAGGCAAAGGAGGGTCAGTCTGGTTAAATCAGGATGAACAGATGTGTTTTAAAGGATGCAGCAATGAGGAATTTAATGTCAGGGGAGTTCTTTATGTATTTATTTAAACTATTTGTACTCCTTGTTTCTCCTTCAAAAGGACCCAAGGCAGCTCACATCATTAAAAGACAATATTTAAAAGCTAAAAACAGTAAGTAGATATTTAAAAGAATCAAACAAAGACCACACTAAAAAAATGGTAAACAAAATTGATACCCCAGATCCAAAGCAACAGGGCACAGCACTCCATGAAAAAACCCCTCCAGACCGCCAGTCCCGAGGGAAAGCCTATGTGGAGAGAACGATCTTCATCCATTTCCCTTCTGGTGGCTGGGAATCATGCAGGACAAGGCATCTGAGAGCGAGGCGGGGTAGAGAGCATAATTTTAGCTGGCTTGTGCAGAACGAACCACCCAATGAGAAGCAGATTCAGAGTTAATTTTTGGATGACACCAAGGGATGGGAAAGCTACTTCTGAACTATAACTGCCTTGGAGATTCTAAGAGTTGTAATTACTTTTTTCCAGCTCTTATTTTAGTTCCTTTTTTCCTGCACCCTTTCCACCTCCCTGGCAGCAGGTAAGAGTGTACCGATAAGCCTTCTATATTGGAAACCAAGACTGGCCTTCCGTGGCCTCCCCCACAAGGTCCGCATTAGTTACTTGTGTAAATGTGGCCCTTAGCAGTGATTAGTACCCGTCATGAAGCTCTCACGGTTACCAGCTTCCTTTGATCAGCAGATGCGACTGGATAAGTTCTGTGTGAACCTGGATGTGAAGCATTTCTCTCCCGAGGAGCTCAAAGTCAAAGTTCTAGGAGACATGATTGAAGTCCATGGGAAGCACGAGGAGCGCCAGGTGGGTTTGCTCGTAGCCAGAAGGCTTCTGGGGGTGGGTGAGGAGGAGGAGGAGGAGGAGGAGGAAGAGGGCTGCTGACCCATTCTGAACATGGATGGAGGTGCCAACATGGCCATGGTTGAATGGAAAAGCCAGCCCGGGGGCAGAGCAAACAGGAAGGCCAGCTGACGGGCTTGTTTTGGTTTAAGCAAGAGAACTGCAGAAACCGAAGATGACCAAGGGACCGTGGGTCCGTCTAGCTCAACACTGCCTTCCATCGGGCATTAGCCTTTTGATGATTAAAGGTCAGCAGACCTGAACATGCCCAATCTCCTTAGCAAACAAAGGAGGGTCAGGATGGGTTAATACTCAGATGGTGGCCCATCGCTCAACACTGCCTTCCATCGGGCATTAGCCGTTTGATGATTAAAGGTCAGCAGGCCTGAACATGCCCAATCTCCTTAGCAAACGAAGGAGAGGTCAGGATGGGTTAACAGGGAATACCTGATATCTCCAGCAGAGGTAGGAACTCTGGAGAGCAGCTGTCAGTCAGCGCACAATGGGTCAGGGGTTTGACTCTCCGTAAAGGCAGCTTTCCTGTATATATGAAAGCCAGGGCGGTGCAGTGGATAAAGTGCCAGACTAGGACTCAGGAGACCTTGGTTCAAATCCCCACTTGGCCACGGAAACTCACAGGGGGTGGCAAATGGCTCCTGGAACATACAGTACCTTGCCGTGTCCTGTTAAGCCCCACTTGGCCATGGAAACTCACAGGGGGTGGCAAACGGCTCCTGGAACATACCTTGCCATGTCCTGTTAATGCTGCTGTAAGCTGGAACTGACTTGCTCACACACACACTCTCTTTCTCACACATGCCCTCCTCGTCCACTGTAAGCTGGAACTGACTTGCTCACACACACTCTCTTTCTCACACACACCCACGCCCACCGACATACTCCAACCTACAGCATCTTCCAGAGATACGTATACACAGTCATGCAATCTTTTCTCTCCCCATCCCCTCAAAAAGGATGAACACGGTTACATCGCGAGGGAGTTCAACAGGAAGTACCGGATCCCGGCTGACGTGGACCCTCTCTCCATTACCTCCTCCCTCTCGTCCGATGGTGTCCTGACAGTAAACGGACCACGGAAACCCACAGAAGTTCCGGAGCGCACCATCCCCATTACAAGGGAAGAGAAAGCCGCCCTCCCGGCAGGGCCGAAGAAGTAGGTGCTTCTTTGAGAACCTGACACTCCCATCTTTTATATCCACAAAAGCCTTTTCACCGGATAGAAGCAGTAGACCAAGTCTCTGACTAGCTGTTCAAATTTATTTGAGCTAAGAAGAGCAAATGAGCTCATTTACTAACAAATAAAACCACAAGTAAGCATCGAGTGGCTTCTTCCCTCAATCTTTGGGGCAGGCTCTACTTGAGACAACCCTGGGGCATGTCAACTGGAGATATTTGTAAACAGATAAACACTGAGCACACGCAGCGTTTTATTACAGCTTAGCAGCTACAACTGTGGCTGCACAGCTCAACAAATTTAACAGCTAACAAGTCAAAGCACTAGCTGTCCCTTCATACCAGGAAATATGGCAGTAACATGAACTAAAACAAAACCTTGAAAATGTTGTTGTTGTTTTTTAAACTTCCACTCCCAGAATCCTCCAGCCAGACATGCTGGTTGAGGGATTCAAAAAGTGGCACTCCAAAATAATGATAATTATAATGATGTTTCCAAGTTCATACACAAAGACACAGGTATCACCCTGCAAGGAGAACCAAGAACCCCTTCTCCCTGTGGTGCACACTCTTTTATTTACAAACACCATTTAGGATCAGCTGCACGGCAAGCTCACCTTGGAGTGGGTAGGTGGGGAAGGGAAGGAAAGGGTCAACCCAGTCTTGTAAGCAGAGTCTTGGAGGCCATCCAGGTTATCCGGGGATTGAGGAGGGTCCCCCCTCCCCCCTTTATCCTACTGTGTTGGCTGCGTCCCATCGGATTCCTTGGGCTTCCCATCAGCCAATGACTTCCCATCTTTGCTGTGTGGAGAGTCGTAATCTATCATGTAACAGGACCGAGCTGTTGGCTTGAAAGGAGGCGGCTCCAGTTCTGGCTGGTGTCCAGGGAACCAGTGAGGTTCTTGAATAACTCCTAAGAGAAGAGAGAGGACGGAGCTGAAGAGCTCAACGTAGGGGAGGAAGGAGAGAAACAGCAAGCGAGCCAAACAGAACACGCACCCGCTGAGCTTGCCTGGCAGAAGCGAAAGGCAGCCTCAGCTTCTGCCCACCCACCCAAGGGCAGAATGCCTGGGACGGCAAGGGGGTGGTGGTCCAAGAGACTCTCGGGTTTGGTCACAAGCACAGGCCGCCCCTTTCTGGGACTGTACGGCCGACACGGGTCCACAGGGGGTGCTGTTTGTCCTTCCTATATGCCCCTGAAAAAACTGCAGACGGGATTTCCCACCTGCCTCAGATTGAGGGTCTTATGAATGCCGCAACAGCTTTTATTTCTTGCTTTGTTTCAACTAGAGATTCTCCCCTTTACGCTCTGCTTCTAGTTTCTAAATGGAAAAAAATCACGTAGGGTAAACTCATAATTTTGGAGGGAAAGGCTGTGGAACAGTGCCCTTCCCCAGTCAGACAGCTTGCCCGTTAACGGTTCTGCTTCACTGGAATGATCCCGCTTTGCTGAGCTACACCTTGATCTCTCTCAGCCCTCTGTGATATTTGCTTTCAACACTAACCTGCTCTTTGGCCATGCAAGGGATTCCAGAGCACACAGCCTCACCCCCTGTCTTCTTATTTGGACCTATCCATTAGGACTGTCTAGTGGCCAGACACTCAGTACTGAAGTGGGAGACAGGCGTCCTCAAGGTCCCCTTACTACCCTCAACATCAATGCCTGCATTTCAGTTTGGGGCACCTACTTCTTGTAGTCTGTGGCATTTTCTTGGAGTAGTCTGAAGAGTAGGTGGATTCAAAGTAGTGAGCATACTGAAAAGGAAAGCACAGATTGAGTATGTGTTGACTTAAGAAGCCGCCTTAATTAGCTCATATTGAAACACTAAATGAAACTGCCTTATCCTCAGAATATCCCCGTTTACAGATCCTTCTGTACACCGGCTCAAAGGTCAGCAAGAGGGAGGGGTATAATCCATGACAAAGGGGAATAATGAATGACACACAGAGAAAGCAATGCGTGCTTACGCAAAGGGGCTTCCACTTATCCAAGGGGCCTTGACCGGAGCGCATACTAAATGGCAATCAAGAAAAATAAACGAGAAACTACACAGAGAAGGAACAGGAAGCACAACAAGACAGAGAGGACTTGAACCCTCTGATGTTTCATTTGCATTTCCTGCTTCTCCACTGAACTCGAGAGTTTATTGGAGAAACAGGATTCTTAGGTGAGCCTTCACTCTGGTTTTCGACCAGACAAAATTCAGATGGGTTCTGCTTCTGAGTGATTATTCTATTTCTAGATAGAGGCTGAATGGGCTACATGTGATTCTTCTGCCTTTCCCCTTCTATAACTTTAAAGAAACAAAGTTGGGAGAGAATCACAAGACCCCTGTTCCCCATTGATCTTCATGGCGGAAAAGGGAAGGGGTCCATTCCAAGTCGACCCAGAAAATCCATCTCCAAAGAGGTTCTCCCCCTGCTTGTCTTGAATGATTGACACAGCATATCACCAAAGGAACAGAACCCCAAGCACTGGAAGGACAGCTATTTCGACGCAAGCTGACAGATGGGGAAGTGGGGAGTTGTGGGGGGGCGGAGAACCCACTGACCTGGGAAGGGAGAGGCTTGGGCTGAAGTACTCTCCGAATGTCGTAGCGCTCTTCGTTCCAGTTCCCCAAGAGGGTTTTGTTGGCATAAGCGTCCTCGTTGGTGGTGCACCTCCAGCCATACTGAAAGAACTTGGCCGTGCTGTTCCAGTCTGTCCACACCTCACCATGGCCGTTGGCACGCAACAGACAGCCGTGATGAGGATTGAAGAAACAGGACAGGGACATGGCCTAGGAAAAGACAGGAAAGGAGGCTTAACATACACAACATGTGATTTGCTAGCGCATGGCTACACTACACAACTCTGTCTGGTTTATACTCCTTCAACTATTACGTCTTAAACTGTCCTGGAAAGTGTATCTGAAGATGTGTGGAGCGTAGCTTGATAGATCCTTAACCTGCCTCCTCACAGATTCCCAGAAACCTCTTAAAAAGAGGAAATAAATAGCATTACAATCTTAAAACATATTCAGAGAGAAGAAATTATGAGCACACCAGAGATCAGAGCGGGCTGAAATGGGGGAAACGGCAAGGAGATACCTCTGTCTCTGAAGTAGAAGTTGTATAAGAACTACTGGATTCATCCATAGTTTACATTCCTTTGTTATCCTATCCTGTTCCGAATTGAAGTTTTGCCTCTGGAATTCAGGCTAACGAACAGCAAAATATTTGGGAGAGGTGGAGCTGATGCTCCAGTTGCAGCAAGGCCGCCCCAAACACCTGCTGAAGACTTTGGTTTGTGATGCAGTTTCCTGCTCATCAGTTGGGACTGATGTCACTGACCTCAGAGCACCCGTGGGGGAAAGGATTCGGGGGTTTTCCTCTGTTTTGAAATCCCAGCTTGCTCCCATGTGGTTTTGCCAAGATACCCAAAACGTTGCTTGCCATAGCTGGGGCTGCCCACCGTTCCGGACTTTCTAGGAAGGCAGTCCCACTGAAATGCAGATGGATTTATTTCTGACCGAGCCCACTCCGCAAGTTAAAGAAGGGAAAATACAATAGGACATTTAAAGGAAGCCTCGTAAACCTTGCTTGATCGGCGGAGTTATAAAAAGGTTGACGGTACAACATGCCACTTGAGCCTCCCAGAAGAATTATTATTTTTTTGTCCTTTAAGGACAGGAAATTGTCTTATCTTGTGGTCTTGTCTCTTAAGATTTTATAAATGGAAATCTTTCATTTCGAGGGGCGGGGGACGATGATGGTGAGAGTCTTCCAGCCTGCGGCTACCCTGGCAGTGGCGGAATTTCAGAAAGCAGTAATACGAAAGGTCCCTTTTGAAAGCTCTGCTTAAAACTCAGGACACAAGACCTTTTTCTATTGAATAGTTAGGCTTTTGGTTAAAACTTGTACTTGTTAGATAATAGGGAAATCTTTCATTTCGAGGGGCGGGGGACGATGATGGTGAGAGTCTTCCAGCCTGCGGCTACCCTGGCAGTGGCGGAATTTCAGAAAGCAGTAATACGAAAGGTCCCTTTTGAAAGCTCTGCTTAAAACTCAGGACACAAGACCTTTTTCTATTGAATAGTTAGGCTTTTGGTTAAAACTTGTACTTGTTAGATAATAGTTTCTATAATAATAATAATACACTCAGCTTCTAGGGGTTTTTTTGGGGGGGAATTTCCTGCTTCTCGCAGATTTTAGGGATGAGCTGCTACGTACTTGATTTCAAACACAATGGTTTCTCCTTTATTGCATTGTTTCTGCCTCCTTCCTAACGGGGTGTGTGTGTGTGTGGGGGGGAACTCACAAGGTCCGTAAAACGAAGAGGAATTGAAAGAAAACATTTGAGACCTCGAAAAAGTGACTAAACATGGAAGCGCGCGTCTTAAAAAAAAAAAACTCACTTTAAAATATTTTT